ATTGATGTTAATCGCGTCGTGAAACGATCACGGCTTCCTATAAGCCTGGTATTTCGACCACCTCTCAATTTACGACGACTTTTAACATCATCGCGTCCGTATGAGAGTCGATGTGAAAGAGCTAACTGTGTGATTCTGTGGAGAACATAAGGTGTGTCAAGAAAAATGTGTGGTGTACAAAGTAGTGTGCCTTTCGTGTCACGAGTTTTACATAGGAGAAACATCAAGGCCACTACACAAGAGAATGGAGGAGCACTTAAGAGCTTTGCGGAACCCGCAGAGCTACCCAGAGAACCCATTCTCGAGACACCGCACACTAAGGCAAGAAAGACCGCCGGAACTTCGCATCTCCATTCTACACAGAAATGTGGTAGATCCAGTTGAAAGAAAGATCAGGGAGGCAATGGAAATAAAGCAACAAGAACCACCCATCAACAGCAAGGAGGAGATGAAAGTGGCAATGGGTTTGTTATCAATATAAGACGTGCACAATGGAGACATACGTGACTAATTCTAGATCACCCCTGTCCCGCACCCTTATAAATAGTCCCATTCCTACCACTTTCATTTCTATCTATACTGCCAAGTAGAGAGGCTTGACGGAGTTTGTGCTCCTTCTCCCTTCTACACAGTGTGGGTTGTTGCTATGTTCACTCTATTAGTGCTGTAACATTGTAAGGGCAAATGCTGTGATTTAAGATCGAGTGACCTGAAGAAGGGCTTATGCCCGAAACGTTGTCACGTAATAAAGATTCAATGAAAAGAAGAGCTTCGTGTTACTACTTACACGTGGACATTATACGTCCACATATAAAAAGTAAGTGGAACGCATAGCAAAGCAATAAATTGTAGTCAACATACGGTGAATAGATAAAAGAAATAAACAATCTGTCTTCGTTTGTGGAAGTTTCGACGCCAACATAATTAGTGGGTGGGGCATGGGAGGGGAGGGGGGGGGGCACGCAAGCTAACTGCAGAGCGATGATTCTGGTTGTCTATGGAGTGTCTATGTGCGCTCTGCATAGACTAAACATAAACCATGAAGACAGGGTACAGCATCGGGATGGGGAGAATGGCGGTGACAATGCGACCCCTGCCTGAAATTTCGTCCTCTGAAACGGACTCCGTCCTTCATCCTCCTCTCATCGTGCAGATCCTTTTTCAACTCCCCACTATCATGCTTTTTCGCAGAAATTTTCCCTATCAAGATTTCGGAAGGACTGGAAGCCTTCTCCAACGATGCTGAGGGAGATACCGACTCTTTCTTTAGCTGGAAAGAGACGCACTTTAACTACGGCATATGTCCAACCTCTGAACTATGTTAGTGCCAAACTTCTTCACTATTAGTTGCCATGGCAATAATGAAAAGTCTACAACGTACCGTATATCTATCGATGAGCTTTTCACTAGATCCGAACTTCTTGTTTGACGCGGACAAACACTAGGATCCCACCTTCAGGAAGAGCTTCATGTATTCGGCACACCTTCAAGCAATGAATGAGTTCAAGCAGAGGAGATACGATTCATCGGAATCAGGAAAACGGAAAAAATCAATACTGAAAAACAACTGCCATTCAAACAAGCACACAAATAAAAAACAAGTGAAATGATGCGACAGCTTTACGTCAAGTGGCAAAATAGTGAAGTTTCATCGTTCCTGAGTGGGAGCCGTTCCAGCCTGGGCAGGAAAGTGGACGGAGGGAGGGAGTAACGATAATCTGGGGTTAGCCCTAGACATACCCCACCCCCCCCCTCCCCTCCTTGCAATGACTTCCAACTCTGCACGGCATGAACTCGAAGGCAACGGGCAGAAAAAGCACTAAAGATGAGGCGAGCAAGAAAAAAATAAAAAACAGCGCTGAGACGCCAGCACGCGCAGAATGTGCGCAGCCCACAGCTGTATTGCGACAAACGGAAAGTCAATCGTCTCCAAATGAAAAGAACAGAGAAGTGGAAGTGAGAACACTTTTAAGGACAAAACACAACAAATAATTTGAAGAAAAAAGCACCTTCTAAAAGTAGCCATCATGTAATCGTCCGGTGTACGTTTCTCGAAGTGATGTTACAGAACTGTACGTGATTCACATTACACTTTGGCTCCAATAAGGAATATCTGAATTCATTCTGTAACTGATACGTAGTCAATCAGGGTGGGCAGTGAGGAGCGTGAATAAGATCATCCGGCGTTTTTTTTATGTTGTTTTTACGCTTAACCAGCTACTTTTAAATGAAAAGGCACAATGGGCAGTTGGCTGCAATCGCTGGCCTTTACAACTCACTGCATGCCCAGGCGGATTGGCGAATAATTCAAGTACATGTACAGTCAAGATCCCTGAAAGCGACAGGACGTATGGCGGAGCGTGGCGTGGATTAGAACACAACCATCGTGGCGTTCTCCACCACTGATGCCATCCTGAGTCCTTTCCTGAGTCTCCAACGTCTGGCGGAAAAGGCTGCGCTAGCTGCGCTCCAAGTCACACCTTTTCATATGCCCTGTCGGTCGTAGGAATCATTAAAGTAGGCTTACCAAGAATATAAAAACCAACATGACAACTGACCTTTTATGAACAAAGTCTTCCAGCCGGAGAGTAGCCGACATAATAATCAGTTTGAGCGGGTTTGATGTTTTTGCTCGAAGTGGGGCTATTCTACTCAGCATGCCAATCAACACATCACTGTACATAGACCTTTCATGTGCCTCATCAATAAGAATAGCGGAATATCTGTAAGAAGCTCTTCTAGAAAGCCTTTTCCATGAGTGACTGTGAAAGACTCATTCCTATGAAATAAGGAAAAATGAAAAACTTAAGCGAAAACTTTACTAACAAAAAAGAGGCATTTTTTCCACCTCAATCGTTTTCATTTATTCCACTGATTAGACCATTTTTACCACAACATGAGCTTAAATAGCTAGGCGCGATTCGACCAGGGAGGGTCAGGGGAGGAGGGCAACAAAGGATACTCATGAAAGCCTGGGCAGCCCACCTTTTGAAAACCTGCAAACTCTTGTAACCACAAGTGCTTACTAGTACCATTCCGCAACTTCACAAGAGTTTATAGGTTTCACCAAAATGAGACCTGTTAGTTAACACAGGAAAAAGTTACAGAGAAACTGCAAAGAGCCCTCCCGAGTTGAACAAGCCCATATCTACTTTGTTTCGTAAAATTTGTAAAAAAATTTATTTTGTGAAACTTCCAAAAATGAGAAGTTTATCCAAGAGCTTCCATTGGAATGGAGACAATGTCATAAGCGGTCTATATACTAAATGTATGATGAACCTAACATCATCCAGTTTCTTAGCGAGTGAGAGAGGAAAGACGTGACCTACTTTTTCAACATAACATCAGATTCCATCTCTTTCATCAGGACACCATCCGTCATAAACAGAATCTTCGTTTTAGCCGTGCGGTTACCCTCATATCGTATCTTAATCAACGAGAGAAAATAGTATTTTTCAAAAAAAAGCAAAAAGGGGTATAAAGAAAGTACCTGATATGAAACTATATCTGGTGAACCCAACTCTTCACCAACACGTTGCGCCATGGATATCGCCGCCACTCTTCGCGGTTCGGTTATGCCTATCAACTGTCCATTGCTTGCATATCTAGAAGAGAATGAGTCTAGAGATCCATCACGTCTTCTACGAACAACACAGAAAAATCTGAGCAAAGCATTCCGCCATGATAATGAAGAAATCTCACGACGGAAATGGTAGTACTGTTGGGAGGGGGGGGGGGGCGAGGGAGGGATGGCGAGCGTGGCATGCGATGACGCCACCAAACCTGCTCGCTTGTGCTCCCTTGCAAAGTTACTGATATTCGCCGTCATCACAGCTCAGCTCTACGAGACGCGAACCTTCTAGAGCTGAGCTCTGGTGAAAAACGGGTTCAGTATCAAGGGTGCCCTCACTGGCTACACCCGAGCAGGATACATTCAAGGAACCATCTTCAGATAAACTTAAAATAATATGGCCTACTCAGAATCACCAGAAAACTGACCCCGCTTCGTAGAGGAACTGCGGAATTTGAGTAGTCTTGCCAGAACCCGTCTCTCCACATATGACAGTAACCTGTAAAAGCAAAGGTATTTGTACTGGAATGGTCGTTGCGCTACAAAGACTATCGAAAAACATTGCAGATCAAACGGAAAAGCGCAAAATGAGAGGAAAATCGATTAAGAAATCTTTTACTTACAATGTTGTCGTTGATAGTCTCCATAATGGGTACTTCTTCCGAATATATCGGCAACTGTGAACGTTTTTGCTCAATGACTGGATCTCGAGCGACAAGAACACGGGCTGGCCGCTGGATAGGAGCATTCGTGCTTTAAGATGTTTCATTGTCGCGCTTGCCTTTTATTTATGCTGAAATAGAGGTTTTGAAAGCAGAGGAGATTGGAAAGAGATGAAAAAGGCGCGGTGTTTGGCTTGGGAAGGGGCACATTCGGCGGTTCGCTTTCACCAAAGTGAGCAGGCCAAGCGTCGACAGGAACAGAAGATATTAAGTAAAGATGCAATAACAATCGTCACATGTGGGAATGAGTCACTTCATTACTGACCTTTCGAGACATGCTAGCCGGGATTCTTTCTGAGCGCAGATGGCAAAATAATAACCTGAAGAAAGTGGTAGTGTTAAGGGTAAATTGCTAAAGTAGACTACTTTTACGTAAGTCAACTTTTTTGTACCTGTGCTGAAACTGAGGGGTTCTGATCTGCAGCGACAGAGGCACTTCCCTTCTCTTCCACGTCGGGTTCTACCTTTACTTCAGCTACTTCTGTTCCAGAGGTTGCTAACTGGGTGGAGGATGACGACGGCGTTTCATCACAAACCTGATAGAGAAAACAAATGAAAAAATACAATCACTTTGAACAAATCAATTTTATCCCAGGGACCGGGCAACCCTGCTTGAACTGAACGAGCCCATTGTTAACATATTAGCCCGGTAAGCATGAGGTTCAGATTTGGCCCCCAGCCTTCCTTATCAACTCTACATTCTTCTAGTGGCCTCTTAATGCAATAGGGAAACCGAATTGGAATTCTGGACCCTCGGCCCCTATCTATGAGGACAACCAGAAATCCCCTCAACCTACTCTTCCGTAAACATCCACTACCTCTGTAAAACTTTGTATTTACGATATTACCGCAACTCGCCCTTCACGTCTCTGGTTTTGGAATCTTTGGAAAGCTCTGGCTTCTCTTAACATTTGTCCCTGAAGTAAGACCAGGCTGAAAATTCAGACACGGGCGAGTTTTGCAGCTCCCCTTTGAGCACAGATATCGCTCAGATTCCGCATGAATAGTAATCTTCTGGCGCTCACGCTAGAAAGACATTTGGTTGGGCCCGACAGGGCTTGACGTGAAGGCTGGCTTGACGCTCCAGCGCCAAAATCATGACAACTATGGGTT